GACTGAGGGGTGACATGATCGAGGTTTATAAGATTATGCATGGGAAAGAGCAGGTAAAGAAAGAGGTACTTTTCTCTCTTTCTCACAATACAAGAACTCGTGGGCACTCCATGAAACTGCAGAGTGGTCGGGTTAGAACGGATAAAAGGAAGTCCTTCGTCCCCCAAAGAGTGGTTCACACCTAGAATTCACTGCCACAGGAGGGGGTGGCGGCTTCAAGGATGGATGGCTTCAAAAGGGAATTAGATAGGCATATGGAGCAGAGGTCCATCAGTGGCTATTAGCCACAAGGTATAGATAGGGGCTTTGGGGCAAGGGATGCTCTGTCATCTTGGTGCTTGGGGGGGTCAAGAGTGGGAGGGCTCCTAATGTCCTGGCCCCACTGCTGGACCTCCTGATGGCACTGGTATTTCTGGCCACTGTGTGACACAGAGTGTTGGACTGGATGGACCTTTGGCCTGATCCAACATTGGCGTCTCTTAACATTCCACTGCTATTTTTCTATACTATCTTTATGTGACACAATAGGTTAACGTGTTTTCTACTAATTAGCGTTGTGTCTAAGTCTTCTACCATAATCTTCTACAAAATGCATTTAAGTAATGTTTTCCTGCTTCATAATAAAATTCTTTTTTCATGCTTTTTATTACCAAGACTTCTGGAGTCCTTACGCTAAAATTAAATGTATTACATCTTTTATAGAAAAATTTAAACCTTAACATCTCAATAAATTTATCTTCTATGTAGTTATCAATTATCAGCCTTAAACAATCTTACTCTAATATAAACAGTCATAGTTGTTACCTGGAACGGACTTTTTTCTTATACAATTCATATTCTTTTTGGTTTAACTATTTGAAATACTAGTTTCTTCTTTCCATAAATATTTTAAATGTGTACTAGGTTTTTATGAATATATAGACACTTATCCTTGAAGTTAATCTTTCCTTAAGTTTTTTTTAATATAGGCTATAATTTTTTTCTAGATCACCTTAACCAGTCAAACAAAAATAGGGATTCTCCAGACCAATCTTATAACAAAATCCCTAAGCTGGTCTCATTCTTATATCTTAGTTTTCTCTCTGTTCTTTTAATAATTTATTCTTTTTAATAAAGTCTTGGATCCATGCCTCTCCTCCTTGTACATAGAAAGGCTTCCTTCCATGATTTGCCATCTATATTCAGTGCCTAGGTTTGTTTCATCTTCTCTATGGTAAGTTTTCCTCCTTGTACTTTTAAAGGTTCCAGAATTTGACAGTCCTTTAGTAAGACTATTATTCTCACTGCTGAAATCCTCTTGATTCTCACCGTAGATTAGTTCCACTTGTTTGTAATACTGTTCTGTGTCTTGCACAAACGGACGCTGTAATTCTTTTTCACTGTGGTTTGGGTCAGCTTGCTTGTAGATTGGATCTGCTTCTTGCGTGGTTGGGTGCTGATGCTTTTTATCAGTGATTTGGTTTAATGCTGAAGGCATTTGGTGTAGTAACCGTTCAAAACCCTGTTTGACTGCCTGATTCAACAATCACAGCCTGAATCTTCTCCCGAGATATTTGAAACATGTCCGATTCCACGGATCTCTCCATATCTGTATCATCTGGCCTGTTTTCCAGAGAGTGCTGAGCATCGAATGACAACAGTTTCAGTTCAGCCTAACAATGTCCAGCGTCTCTGCAGGTCGCTTATCAGCTGTCTCTTTCAAGCTGCCTGCCTCTGCCAGATAATACTCCCCTCCGCAGTCAGCAGTCTCTCACACAAGCCAAATGTTTCACAGCTTTATTTATTTATATTAATTTATTACTTCGACTTTTACCCCGCCCTCCCCGCCAAGGCAGGCTCAGGGCGGCTTACACAAAACCAATAAAACAATATACATCTCAATATAAAATACGTAATAAACAATTTTAAACCATTAATATGTCGATGGCGGGACAGATATAATAGAGTGAGTTTAAGAACACGTTCAGTGGTGCATTTACTTTGCTTAGGCTGGAAATAAAATCTGCACAGGGCGTGGCTGATAAGGTGCAGCTCCCATCGAAATGCCTGCCGGAAGAGCTCCGTTTTCACGGCCCTGTGGAAATGTGAAAGGTCCCGCACGGCTCTGATCTCACCCGGACGCTCATTCCATTTATGGTAAAGACAAAACAGAGTGCGCTTCCACTCTGTTCTCAGCAGTAAAGTGTGACATCGCAGAGTTGTCGCAAGATGGTGAGTTTCACTCTGTATATATCTTTCTTTTTTCAAAAAAGAAAAATTATAGTTCTCTTGTAGAAGCTCAAACAAAAGTCCCTCTTAGCCTCGGAAAGTGTTTATCTCAACATTCTTTTCATAGTTCTTATCTCATCCCAGCCGCTTCACTCCAACGAGGGGGGCGGATCCCACCTCTCCTTTCTGTCTCGTATTGAAGATTTAAAGGGGCTTATTTAAAAAAGTCATTAGATTCTTCAGTGTTGCTGCACCAGGTACTTACAGTGCATGTCTTCATCAGTGTTATGGATGAGGCTCAATTTAAATTCAATTGAAAAAAATTGAAATTGGATGAGGTTCAGAATAACTCTCTTCCTTTGGGGGCGTTCACATCTGGTGCTGTTATGACTGCCATACCAGCTCTTCTTTGTCCCCTGCTTCTGGGACAATCCAGGACTTCCACCCACTTGTTGCCTCAAGTGGCCCCCCCGAATCAAGTCCCTTGCTCCAGACCTCCCTCCAGGAGGTCCGGTGAGGCTCGGGATCCCCCGAAACCCCCCTAAAAAGAATGAAGAATCGGTCGATAGCCAGGAGCAATTCCTGGTGTCAACTGAGTTGATGCGCCGAAGCCCCACCCTCATCCTCTTACTGTGATTTCTGTAGCCGCTGTCCTCTCTGTGTCCATCCAGGTATTGCTTTTTCTAACGGAGACAAATGGAAGGTGTTACGGCGTTTCGCTATACAGACGCTGCGTGAATTCGGGATGGGTCGGCGCAGCATTGAGGAACGGATCCAGGAGGAGGCCCGGTGCATGGTGGAGGATCTCGCCAAGACCAAAGGTGTGTGTGTGTGTGTGTGTGTGTGTGCATGTGGTGTTTGGGGTGCGGAGAGCTGGGGAGCAGCAAGTGTGAGACCCAAAGGACATCTTTTCACCTTACTGACTGATAGGGTTTTTAAAAATCCCCTACGTGAAGCATGTCTACATTTCTCCATTTTAACTCCTCAAGGATGGGCAGGGAAAGGGTTTTGTGGGCACCTGGAGTCAGTCTTGGGATGGACGAGAGTTCAGCATCCGGAGTTCCACCCAGAGCATGTTGAGAAGCCTCTTGTGGGTGGCTCCACTGGTAAAGAGTGAGGCGCTCAACCTGGTTTGGGGGTGTTGTTAGGTCTGACCCCCTAGACTGGATGCTCAGGTGACCTCCTGCTGGGAAGTAACTTAGATCAGTACGCCTCATGTTACCCCTTCTGGTACAGCTGCTGTTTCTCATACAAGAGCTTTGCAACAGTTTATCCATGCCCTGCTGCCAATCCAGGTTTGATTAACTAATTCAGGAGTTCTTAAACTTGCTGAAGCACTTGGGGCAGTGTTCCCTCTAAGCTGAGTTAGTGTGAGAACTAGCTCACAGTTTTTTAGCCTCCCACTCACGCATTTTTGCCTCAGGTCAGGAAGGGTGGCTCCAGAGCAAGGTAATTTATGCAGTGGCCAAATCGCTCACTCACAGCTTTAATGCCAACAGCTCACCAAGTAGGATTTTTGCTCACAAGACTCCACAGCTTAGAGGGAGCATTGCTTGGGGGATGTAGCAGATGCTGGATACCCTGAAAGGGCTGCCTGGGGAGGTACAAACATGGCAAGAGAAAAATGGGAGAGTTGTACATTTATAGGGGGCTGAGAAATCCGTCAGGGAGTAATCACCTGATCTCACTAAAATAGACTGGGTGGTCTTAGCCCCCACCTGAGAGAATGACGGCTGAGGGGGGTGACATGATTGAGGTTTATAAGATTATGCATGGGACAGAGCAGGTAGAGAAAGAGGTACTTTTCTCCCATTCTCACAATACAAGATTATGCATGGGACAGAGCAGGTAGAGAAAGAAGTCCTTTTCTCCCTTTCTCACAATGCAAGAACTCGT